TGGAGGTTTATGCTTCTCCTCTTAACATAATTAATGCTTTTAAGGTTTGTTCATATTTTATCTAAAAAATAAAAGGTAGTAATTTCTTGACATTGAAAAGTTATGTGACATTTTAATATATCTTATTTAATTTTTTTTTATACAGGTATGATTTGGTGATAAACCCTTTTAAAAGGATAGGATGCATGCAACAATTCTTGGAAGATAGATTTAAAAAATGTGTTGGTTGAACAATGAAGTTAATATTTTGTATAGATGTCTTGTGACAATCACAAACTTATAGTTTTAGCTTTATTTGACAATTATTTCTCTTAAATGATGTAAGTGGAAAACTTGATTAGCTCCTTTTCTTGGTAAAGGAAACTCCTTCCGCTTATATGAAATGGAAAAAAAAAATATGAATTTTGAAAAATTGTGTAAAAAACATGATTTACTCATATGAATAGAAAAAAAAATATGTATTGTGTTAAATTGTGTACTCCACTTTATTTGATTATCTCCCTTAATTTTTGTTTTTGGTTCTTGTATCAAATGCAATTTTTATTATTTGCTTTTTATATGATTGGGAAAATTTTTAAAATTTTTAATTTTTTTTAAAAAATTTCCTTATAATTAGCCACGGTTCTATCAGTGGCAAAATAAAATTTTTGATCATTGGGATTCAAATCGTTTAGCCACGAATATAACGTGGCTAATGTAACATAAACCGTGGCTAACTCAATGTTACCACACTCATTTAGCCCGTGCTTAAATGCAACAAATACCGTGGTTAAAATAATGCAACGTCCGTTTTAGCCATTATTTTTGAAACAGTGGACAACTCATTTAGCCACTGTTTTTATTAGATTTTGCCTCGATTTTTTCCGTGGCTAAAGAGAAATTTTGTTGTAGTGTATAAATTTTTTGCATTTTGAGTTAAATATTTAATAAAAGAATAAAATAAAGTAGTAATAAAAATTTATATAAGATAAAACATATAAAATAAAGTAATATAAATTCACTTCGTAACATATGCGACTAAATACTTATGGATTAGCCTGTTGACTTAGCTATTTTTTTTATTTTGACTTAGATATGCGATAAAACACTTCGTATCATATGCGATGAAATTTATATAAGCTCTAAAATTAATAAAAATTATGATAAAGAGTATATAAAAATTAAGTCTGTTTCTTATTTAGGAAATTTTAGATTAACACAAATATCGTTTAAAATGTAAAAAATAAAAATTCTTAAAATATCAAATACATTTAAATGTTTGTCCTTTTAAAGGATGATCATTTTAGTTAAAATTAGTGTTTTTGTTTAAAATTTAAATTAAAAAAATTCTCATTTTCTCCTCCCATGATTTCAATTGTGTATTTCTTTCTCTCACTTAAAATGAAAAAAATTTATTTCCTTGAAAAAGACAAAAACTAATCTCTCATATCAATTTTTAAATACTTTATTTATAAATATGTTAACTTTTTATTTATCAAATATTTTTTAATTTAAATAAATATTGCTAGAAAATTTTTATAATACTAACATATTTTAACTAATGGCGGAGCCACGTTAGAGCTGGATGGTGCTTTGATCTTAACTTATTTTCAAATATTAACCACGTTTTAACGTCACTAAATCACTCTATCTATTCTGTATCGGTTAGGCGGTCAGCTCTGCCACTAATTTTAAAAGCTTGACCAGCGGTGAAAAAAAATGATGATATGGGTAGAATGTGCATTTCTTAAAGAGGAGGGATATTTTTACTACTAATATTTTTCATTACTAATTTATTACTCATCTAATCATCATTGGATTAACATTCTCTCTTTCAGTTGTAAGAATATCCCTCCCCTTTCTTAAAACAAGCCAGAAGCCGGAAACTTTTCTGGGATGTTTTTCATAAAAAATGACTTCAATAATTTTTCTTCATTAAAAATAAGATTTTTTTATAATAGTTTTTATGAAAATATATGGTTTGACTTCTCTTTCAAAAAAAAGAGAAGTTTTTTTAAAATATAAGTTAAACAGTATTAAATAATTCATGATGCTTTATCTATTAATGAATTGATTTGAAAATTTCATATTATAGTTATATATTTTATTATAATTTTATTCCCTAACTATATCAAGGTGATACCAAGGGTCTTAACATAAAGGTAATATAGATGATTTGTTTAGTAGTTAAAAATATTAAATTATCATAATCTTAAATGTGTTAAGGAATTATTTAAATAATTATATATTGTGACATTTTCTTAGAGTCAGGAAATATCTCTTTAAGAAATATTATTTAATTGTTACAAATATTAACAACTTGAAGATGATCACATTAATTGCATGTGTTTCCTATATTAACAAGTCAGAAGTTACCTGTGAATTTTTCATAAAATAATTACTTTAATATTTTTTGTCTTTATAAAAAAAAGGAGCTTTATTTTAAGAGTTTTTATGAAATATTTTTTCTTGGCTTTTTATTTTATTATTTTAGTATTTTATTATTTTATTTTCATAAAAAAAATCTCATTAAAAGTTTTTTTAAGGATTTTTTTTAATAACTATTTTCTAAAATGATCAGTTAATATGCGGTGATTTGGATGAATATTTTCTCCGAAGTCATTAGTTGTTATTTAAGGGGCGTTTGGTTGAGGAGAAATTTTTTGAAAACTAAAAAAATATAATTACTAGGGAAGTGGTTGGAAAGTAAATTTAGTAGAAAAATATAAAAAAAATTATTTGGTTGGAACAAAATTTACCGAAAAAATTAGGTAAAATTTATAAAGTGTATGTTTGGTTTGAAGTAAAATATTGATGGTAAAATAAGTTACAATTGCTCAAATAACCCTTATTTTAAAAAAAAAATTTGAATCACACGTGGTACCTTAAACCCTTTACCTAACGGAGGGTATGTTAGTCACCAAATTATTTCTTTTGGTGACATTTAGCTGGGGAACGCAAAATACAACATCAGAATTGGAAATATCTGGCCGTTTATATTAAGAACTTTAACATGCAAAATTGTTTGATGGGAGAATATTTTAGGTAGGCAAATGTTGAATGTGGACAACCAAACATAGTTAAACTACATTCACAATCTGCCAATACGCATCTATTTTATCATATATCCTCAACCAAACACAACTTTAAAGGTGTGTTTTGTAGTCAATATTTGAAGGGAAAAGGAAGAAAGCTGAAGATTTTGCTTTTGTCTTTTCTTTGTTTATGAGTTTTAAAAAATGGAGGAAGTGGAGAGTCATTATCTTTCTCACTGTTAAAATCATAGTTCCCCCAATTTAGAAATTTGAGAAGAAAAATATAATAAATTATTTATATGCTCTTAGCATCATCTCTCCTTGTAACGCTTTCGACAAATATAAAATAATTTTAGAAAAAGAAAATAATTTTTTAGATAAAAATATTTTTTAAATTTGAAAATTCCTTAAAAAAAAATTTAAAAAAATTTAAGTTTACTTTTATTTGTAAAATATAATAATTATATTAAATTTTGAAGAAAGAGTAAGATTATAAAAATATCTTAGTAGCTCTATATTTTTCTCTTTTATTATATATTTTTTTAACAGATCCGACTTAAACTGGTCAGGTCAACCCAAAATTTGGTAAATCATTCATCTGACAAGTTTGAATCAAATATAGGACTGACTATGTATCAGACTTGATAAAAATTGATTTGAATCGTATTTTAACAAAATTGGTGACCCGGGTCATCAAAACCAATGAGTCATGCTCTTTTATAAAAAAATTATAAATAATTAAAATTATTCCATCTTATCTTAAAAATTGTAGAGCTTCTTTCAAAATATCAGGTATGATAACATTGCTCCAACTCTCAAACACACCCATTAATAGAGTTCAAGATGAGGCAGTGTACATGCATAAGTAGAACACGCGTGACGTGACGTTTAGCTTCTGTGTGGCAAGGGCACCAACTGCAATGAAAACATAATTAAACCACCAAATAATAATCCATAATTTTTCAAATTGGTCCGTTATTTTTCCTCCTCTTTAGAGGTGTTTCGCTCGCCGCTTTTTAAAAGAATCCTATGCAAATGTAAGAAGGATTCTTGAAATGAGATGTTTGGTTTAGGGTGATTTAGTGAGAAAGTTATCCATCCAATTTGCATGAATTTTTAGATTTTGGAACGAAATGGTAGGTTTATTTACGGTTGAGAAAGCGTTTTGGGAGGTGAGTTTTTGTTAAAAAGCTGAGTAATCTCACTATTCACTCAAATTTTTCACTATATATTACCTCCCACCAAACATATATTTCTTAAAAGTTATCTAATTTCTCAGTAAAGTTTTTCCCTACCAAACTATTTTTTTTAACATTTTTCTATCTATCTCACTTTCTTACCATTTCTCTATCAATTATATTTTGCTAGTATTCAAAAAATTTCTCTTCAACCAAACGCTCCCTTAGATAATCTCAAAAACCAAGCTTTATAATTAAATATTAATTCTTCACAAAGGATTGGCTGTGGAGACTTATTTTCGTTGGATGGGGATCTCAGCAGCCGGCTGGGCATGACGTGCGGTGACTTAATGTTTGAACAAGTTGAGCTGGGTTTTTTTTTTTTAAATTAGAAATTATTTTTAAGCTAAAGTAAAAAAAATTTAAAAAAAAAATAAAAGCTATTTCATGATTATATAAAAAATTTAGATTAAAAATTATTTAAAAACATATATTTGAAGAAAAGCCTCTTTGTTATATTTATATGACTCTTTATCTCAAAAAAATATATAATTCAAGAAAAATCGATAAGAATTAAATAAAAAGTTTTTTTAAGAGATTTTGACTTTTAATTTTTTTCTTCAATAATTTTTTTTTTTTAAATTCTGCTTATAAAAAAAAAACCTAAAAAAAAGAAAAAGAAAATCCAAACAATCGTATAACGGTTGTCAAGCTATTCTTTTGCCACTTATTTAAGTTGGTGGATGCAAAGCGTTTCACACATATGTAAAATTTCTTTCTTTGATTTTGTGTTATTAAACGTCAAGCCATGGATGATAGGATCAGCACATTACCGGACACAGTTCTCTTCCACATTTTGTCTTTTCTGCCAATCGACGAAATTGTAGCCACAAGTGTTCTCTCCAAAAGGTAGAGCCCTCTATGGCTCTCTGTCCCCACTCTTAACTTTGATGATTTTCGCTATACTTGTGATTCGGACGAATTTGCGTACTATGAAGAGTTTGAGAGAGAAAGCAAAGCGAACTGTTCGGACTTTGTTCGGTTCGTGTATGCAGTTATTCTCTCACGAGATTTTCACCAACCCATTCAAACATTCCGTCTAAAGTTTCATAATTCTCATTATTGTGATCCTATTAATATCAACGTATGGATTAATGCTGCATCACGAAGCAGAATTGAGAACCTCGACCTTAGTTTGCGTCAGTTTGTTAGTCTTAAACCATCCTTCTATTCGCCATCTGCCATTTTCAAATGCAGAACCCTTGTGGTTCTCAAGTTGGAGGGATTAACAGCGAAACCTATCTCGTCTGTTTATTTTCCCTCACTTAAGATTCTGCATTTGAATTTTGTTCGTTTCTTAGAACATAGGTATCTCTCGGAGCTTCTTTCTGGGTGTCCAGTTCTTGATGATTTGGAAGCAGTTGATTTGTATTTTGATAACTGTCATGGACATGACAAAAAACTACATTCTAGAAGGTCCAAATAGGGCTAACAACTAAGAAGGAATTAAAAAAACATTTTTTAATCATGCTGATCCTACTACGGCAGCAATGGAACAATTGGACTCCCAATGACCCAAAAATCCACTCCTGTGAGGTAACTCATCTATAAATAAGGGGTTAAACTAATTAGGTAGACACTCTCTAAACCTTCTCCCTTAGCTTGTCACTACGCCTTCACTATGTCGTATACATTATTGTGCACAATGATCCGCTGATCTCTAAGGTACCTTCTCCCTAGGTACCTGAGGAAGAATAAAGAGATCCTATATTAATATACTAATCTCTGATTCGACATGACGATCTATCATATCCCAACAATAACTACTTTGCTGTGGCTGAGTTTAGAAGCTTACCCAAGTTGGTCAGAGCATATGTTCGTAAGTTTCATATTCTGCTGGAATCAGTTCAAAATGTAGGGTTTTTGCGCTTAAAGGTACTGAAAATGTGATTTACATCTTTCTATTTTTCATTTTCAAGGAAAATGGGATCTCTGATATTTTGATATTATCACTCTTGCAGATGAATGGTGTGGTAAATTACAAGGACACGAACCCTTGTGTCAAAAACTTTATTCCCGTGTTTCACAATTTAAACCATGTTGAAATCATCTGTTCTTGTTATACTACTAAGCATTGGCTTGATATAATAGAAGTGCTCCAGCATTGTCCCAAGTTTCAAATTCTCGCCCTTCATCAGGTTTGCTATGTTTAATTAGTTTTTTAAGGTTAAATTGTTTTTTCATCTTTTTGTCACATATTTTCATTAATTTTACTTATATGTCTGTTGTTGACAGGAATTTGTACACCGTCATGGACAGGAAGTTGATTGCTCATGCCCACTTTCTGTTCCTGAATCCATTTCATTGAATCTTAAAACTTGTTGTCTCACTAATTACAAAGGCTCGAAAGGTGAGGTTCGATTTGTAAGATATGTAATGCAAAATGCAAGGCTTTTACGGTCCATGACAATCTCTGTTGTCGAAGCTGTCAAACTAGAGGAAAAGCTTGAGATGATAACAAAATTATCTTTGTGCACAAGGCTCTCTGCAACATGTGAACTTGCATTCAAATGAATGAAAATGGATAGGATTTGAGTAATTGCACACAGAACTTTGCTTAATTTTTCAAATAACCGATCTGTTTCTTTGCCGACGATTATTGTAATTAACTTGAGTTGCAATGGTGCCTATTCTTTTTTTTTTGAATTAATTTATCGCTTCGCAACTAGTCCGGTTCAGGGTGGATTTCGGGATTAAGACATTAAATTCCTGGCAAAAACAATAGTGGAAAGGATTGAACACGTGATTTTACTCCTCACTACTCAGTACCAGCTTGAGCTCTCTTCATTTGGTGCAATGGTGCCCATTCTATTGCAATATTAGTTGAATTCTGATCTGATGCATAAACACACCATGCATAACCGATGATCCATCTTGTTTTATATTTTTATCTCCCAGATAGAAATATCACACAAATAGATTTTGCTCAAAAGGAATCATCCTTTATTATTTTTTGTAGCATTAATATCCTGATTATTATTTAAGTGTTTTAAAAAAATTATTTAGAAATTAATTTTTTTTAAAAGTTTTTTTTTTTATCATTTAATAAGGAAGGATTTTAACCATCATGCAGATCAATAAAACGTGCAATTAGCCTATGCTATCTTCTTAACAAGCATTTTTCTATTGTAACTTTGGGATCCAGAATATTTTATGAAATGGGTGAAAATAAAATATTAAAGTTATAAATATTATTAGGATTAAAAGAAAAATAATAATTATTATAAGTGTTTTTAAAGTTGAACTATAAAAATATATTATTATATATCTATAATAATAAACAATTAAAGTTTATACCCTCCCTGATCTGCCTCTGTAATCTGTATATGCTTGGATACGGAACAAGTGTGTTATGGAAAAATGTAAGGTAAGACGATTTTAACTGAAGTGTGGACGGTGTTAGTCTGTCCTCCACTTAATTTGCCGAAATCCAAGTCTTAATTTCAATCTTAGTGTGTGCTTTTTGGACTTTTAATTTTGTCTTTTTTTTTTCTTTTTTTTTTCTTTTTTTTATCCTGTGCCTTGTTGACTTTTTAACGTCTTAAATTTGCTCATTTTTCAAAAGATCCACTTGCTCCACCAAGAGATTCTCAGGCATGATTAGTTTTGTCAGGGTACAACTTATGGCCGTACATCTTAATAGCCCATGATAGATAACCTCTTAACAGATATAAGGAATTAATCTTATTTGATAAGATATTAAATTTAGGGGAAGGATATTGTGACAATCAAGTTGTGTTACTACTAAGTGATTATCAATCAATCTCACCGTTAGATCGATTATGTTGATTCAACGGTTATATTTATTTTCACCTTTGTATGGTTACAATTTCCCATATTTAATGCTAAAAGCATTAAATATAAAAAATCATAACTATACGTAAAAATAAATATAAAGTTTTAAATTTGAAACTGACAAAGGAAAAGAGTTTTTGATAAAAGGGTATTGGACCGTGGAAAAAAAAAGAGTCAAAGAGAGAATATATTTTCAATGAGCCACAAAGATAGAAACTGACAAAGGAGATGACTTTTCATATATCATTTTACACAAATTTGAAATCTTATCCCTTGCTATTCTTTATTATTATTATTTAAATTTAAATTGTTTTCAATTAAATTTAAATTTTTATTTTAACTCTTTTATTTTTTTTATTTGAATTAAGAGGTTAATTTTTTTATATAATTCATAAAATTAATTGTTAAATACATTATTAATAATTTCAGGTTTTTAATTAAATTTAATATTGATATATATATATATATATATATATGAGGGTTATATTTACAAACTTTTTGTTTACAAACTCTTACAAACTACACTATGTACTCCCGCGAGAACACTAGGTTACACTATATTCTCCCAGGAGTACATAGTGTAATTTACAAAAATTTGTAAAAAAAATTTGTAAACGGATCCTTCCCCTATATATATATATATTAATATTATTTTCTTTGATACATAGTAAACTCTTACGTTTTGTTTACGTTTCACGATTCAACTTTTCTGTTCACCCCTACCGTTTCTACGTGGACTCTACGTTTTAACAATATTGAACCTGTCCATGTCAGACAAGTGGCCCGATGTCTATTTTTTCTTACCTTTGCACCTAGTTCGCTGTATCCAGTGGCGAACTTCTAAATGGCTGCCACGTGTCCTAAACGTGCTTAGAACATATTGATATTTTGACCACTTAGTTCGCTACTGACAGTAGCAAAGTACGTGGCCGCCAAAAGGTGCCACGTCTGCAAACGAAGTTCCTTACCTGCTAGCTGCTGTAACGAACTTGTACATTTGGCACTTTGGAAAATTTTACTATTCGCGTGGCAACGGAGATAATTTTTTAAAAAAAATGTGGCAAAATGATCATTGTTCCACGAAGATCCATACATAAATGGTCCAATATCTAAACCCCTATATGCCAAGAGGTAATTCAATCTATTGTCAGTTTAAGGCCATAAAATGCAGACTCCCATCTGTTTTTTCTTATAGATATCACAAAAGGGAGCAAAAACTAAGTGATTAGCTACGTCCAATTGTACAGTAGATTTCTGCAATTAATCTTACCATTTTAGGATGATGCCAAACACTACACTGATGCAGTCAAAGGATGTAAGTTTTCTACATGAAAGAGATATTCTTCGAAACCCGGTCGAACTAAACATAAGAGGCAACCAATGGTGGCATTCTTCCTGCAATAAAATCCCAAAAAGGAAAAGTCCAATTTATGTGCACCCTAGCTTTAGACCATTATATGTTCAAATTCTCAAGCTAGATTTAGGATTTAAAGTAGAAAGGAAACCTACAAAAATAACCAGAGCCTTTTCCCAGAGCCGACCACATGGATCACATGACCCAATTGCGTTCTGTCAAAAATCAAATCTTGAGGCAATTTAGATCTAAATCCTTTGTAACAATTTGACTTAGACCCGTTTGGATGAGTTTTTTTTTTTTCAAAAATTACTTTTTTTCAAGAAAAAAAACACTTCTCATTTTTAATTTATTTGGATGTCTGCTTTTAAAAAAAGGAGAAGTCACAAAAAAAATCAAAAACTTACTTTTTTCAGAAACTAAAAATTTTAACTTCTAAAAAAAACAGAAGTCAAAAGCCAAATATTTTTTTCAAAATCTAAATATTTTTATAACAATATAAATAACTTTAACTTTTGTAAAAAGTACTTTTAAAATAAAGAAGTGATCAAAGTTACTTTTTCTAAAAGCTTAAACAAACGACCTCTTGGAGTCATTATTGGTAAACTTCTACATTAGATTATTGGGCTATCCTCCAACTGATAAACTCTTCCAAGTGGAGCTTGTATTAGTCTTCTCTTCAGAGTCCATCTAAACCATCCTGGTTGCTGTTCTACCATCTTTTCCTCAATAGTTGGCCCCTCCAAATTTCTCTCTAATACTACATTCATTCCTACTCGTCTTAAATTGTACGACCGACCATACAACAAAAGTAACATCCTCATCTCGGCAACATACAACTTATACTCTTGTTGGCCCATTATCGCCCCATACTCAGTGCCATAAAGCAGTCACATACGAGTTTGACTCATCAACTTCATCTCTAGAACATTGATATCAGATTAATCACCGAAAGAAACAAAACTCTCGTCGAAGTTGTTATTCTTTTAAGCATTTAGTCATTTCAAACTCGAGACAACATAGGAAGAGGGAATGAGGAATAATATTTTCTCCCAAGATTGTAAAAGAGAACAAACCTTATAACCTCTTCAGTAGATTTGAAGATACCCTAAACACCTAAAGAAAGAAGACAGCTTCTCACCATACAAAAATTGAAAAAGAAATGGGGGATTCTGCACACATCCCAAAAGCTAGCATTGGGAAAATATTTTTAGATTAAAACAGAAAGAATTGAAAAAAGCTTCCAATTTAAGTATCATTCTTTCATCCTTTCCAATATAATTTGCATCCCCACTAAGCACAGATCATTACAAAAGCTTCTATTTTATAAAGCTTTTGACTTTCTTTTATGTACATCAAAAAGAAAGTACTTTGTAATGATGTTATGGGTGTTGGGACCCTTAGAGTAGCTTGTTAGCTGCTCTGTTGTTCTTGTTTTCCAAAAAAAAAAAAATACGAAAAAACATACCTTTTAAGACATAAGGTTCAATGAATTACAATTTGACAGGTTTCAAAGTTCATTCGAAGTACAGATAATTGTCTGCGAATTTGGAGCTTTTCCTCTAAACCTAAGGAACTTGCAATATAGATTGTCATTGTCTCCAACACTCTTGCATTTAGCACAATATAGCGCACAAAATCCATCTCAGTTTTCAATCCTCGATACTCTTTAAAGCAGAATGTTTTGAGATGCAACAAAAGGCATTCAGGAACAATCAGTGGAAGGATCCATTTCGGCTCTTGTTCCTGTTCATATACTCGTGATTCCTGCAATAACAAGTACATATGCCCCTAAAATCCAAGTGAATAGCTGATAAAAAAAAAATTACCGTTCAAATCATCAAACCTTATAAATGACAAGAACTTCAAGCTTGTGGGAACGTTGAAGCAAGTTTGATAACAAATCCCAAGCATAGTTCCCAAATGAAATTTCCAATTGTACTAAATTGTCTAACACCGGAATTTCACTGGAAGTAGCATACTGCAGACACTGAATGAAGAAATCAAGGGAAACAAATAATCAAAGAAGGCAAAATAAAACAAGCAAAAAAAGGAAATGGTACTCCTTCCTAGAAATCATCAACTTCTGTTAGAAATAAAAAAAAAAAAATCACAAGTAACTAGAGGAAGGAAACCAATAGTTGGTATAGGGCTTCTTATATATGGATAGTGTACTATTCTGGCAACTGAACAAGTGTAACTTCTGCTTCCATGTCAGTCTCAAAGAAAAAGCAAGTTTAGCACTATTATTATTAATTTTTAATCTGAAAAATAGCACGGTAGCACCATTATTGATCAATGATTAGTTAATCCTTTTCATCACACCAAATAACTAAATGTTGTCATAATTGTCTCACGCGAAACCAATAGATTGATTTAAACTTAATAAACCTTAGTAATTTTGTATAACTTCTTAAAGTTGTAAGTAGCAGCAGCCATAGCAGCGTAAAGGAGGGGAGCAGCTCTTGGCAGCTCCTGAATTAGCAGACCACTTCACTTTGTGACGTGAAATGCCCCAATAGCAGGATATATCCGGATGATGGTAGAGGGATCCTGATTTCCTGTTTTAACCTCATTAAAACCACCTTCATACAATGGATAGGGCCAAATTAGGGACTCTTAGATCCCGGAACACCCACAACTAATTTAATGATCAGAATTCACTTTGACAGTGCACCAAATGTAGAAGCTTGCTCTGTTGAAACCAATTTTGGAGCTTGCTTGTAACTCTGTTATGCATCACTTCAACCCTTTGTTGACCTTGCTCTGATCTTCAACCCTTGAACCAGAATTACATTCAACCTTTTGCCTGTAGGTCCTTCTCCTTCTATTTATAAGGTGCAGTCCCTTACAGCTCTGTAAAACCGTTCTCTGTGTACTTGTCCTCCTTTTTGTGACCTTCTCTCTCTCTCTTGTTCATGGGTCACCTCAAGTCGTTGAGTATGTAATAAAATTACAAATAAAATCATAATAAATTAGTTAATCATCATGAATTTTTTTTCCTTGTAATTTATGTACTTTTGTTTTCTCTTCCATCTGTACCATATTCCTAAATTTTAATCTTACTATGGCATTAAGCTTTAAAACTAGAGTAGGATAATCAGTTACGTATTTTAAACAAACTGTTCAATTTTTTTATTGCAGCCGCTCTCTGCTGCAATGGCTACTCAGCAATCCACTATGTTGTTATATCGTTTTTGGGAGTGACTGCCGCACGCCAGTTCTAGAATTAACTACTTTGTAAAGTGACCACAGGTGCCACATTCCATCATTAAAATTTGTGTAACTTCCACATCATATCCAATACAAACACTGAATTCAATGTAATGCCATCTACTTTTTTCACCGTTAAGTACTTTGTAAATTCCATAACATACTCAAAACAAAATATCGAATTCAATGCAAGATCATGTTATTTTTTATTTTACTTTTTCCGGTGGATAGATAATGTTATTTTAGGCAAGAAACGACAACTCTAACTGCCGCCTATGACCATTCTCGGGAGTGGCTGCACATACTACAATTAACTACTCCATAATTTCCAAAAAACATCAAATTCAAATGCAACATCATGCTATTTCATCCAAGAAACAATATCTTTAATCAATAATGAATTGAATGTTTCAGATTTAACTAGAATGAAACCTAAGTAAGTTGAAGAACCAAATTGAAGCATACTCAAAGATTAAACACACACACACACATATTCACTTGTTTTCAAGGGAAGGGTGGAGAAGTCTTATACCTCAACGGTGGAGGACGAAAGTGAAAGACACCGAACATTAGAAAGTTCTTGGAAAACCTTGAGCATCGACCTCTGGCATGAATCCCTCCAAGAAAACCCAATTTTTGCACGAAACAAGCGTTTCAAATTCAGCTCGAATTTCCCTTTGAAGCAAACGCGTCCACCACAGATATCATTGAAGGTCGATTCGAGCACCAAGTCCTCAAGAACAGGGCACCCAGCGAGAAGCTTGAAGACATAATCGTGGGACCCAAACACAACCCTATCCCCAACATGCAAAACCCTAACCACAGGAAGACTCACCGAGAACGTTGCGAGCGCGTTGAGGAACACCCCATTGAGCTTCAACACCGAAACGGTGTCGCAATTGAAGAGCCGCCGCGGCAAAGTCACGTAACGCGTAAGCGAGATACTGAGCTCCAAGTCCTCCACGCCCCGCCGAATCACGTGGGTAACCCACGTGGCGATGTCGAGCTCCGAGCAGTTAGGTTGGGCCCCACAACGGAGGCGGAACCGCTTAATCTTCCCGGCATCGTGGAGAAGTAATACGGAGTAAACGAATTCAGCGAACCCGGTCTTGTTATGGGCTCTGGACTCGTACCTACGGCTTGAACCGGTCCACGATTCGCGCCGGTCCAATGGTGTCTCGTCGTCGAAGTCGAGGACTTCGACGGTGGCCCAGAGATTGCGCCACCTCTTAGACAGAATGCCGGTGTTGACGGATTGTTTGGTTGGCAGAAGGGAGAGGATTTGGGTGAGCAGGACGTCCGGGAGGTGGCTGATTCTGTCGTCGGCGGTGGCGGTGGGTGGCTCTAGCCTCTGGCGTTGCCACGGTGGTTCGGAGGTTTCGGCCATTGATTTGCGAGAAATGGTTTAAGTGTAAGAGCGAAGAGAATATAAATGAGACAAAGAGTGTCACCACCAGGGTGTAAATAGCTAGCATTTGGTCTACATATGCGAAATTACCTAAAATGTTTTTATGTCTAAATAAGTTCTGACCTAAACTTATTTGTTGTTAAACCTTGAGTAATTATCAAAATTAAAAAACATATATAAAATAAAGGGTTTATATTTGTCATTTTAAATGATATAAACTTATAAAGTTATGTCATTTTAAGACAGAAATAGAGACAAGGAATAAAAATCATTGGAGAGAAAGTGAGTGAATTTTTTTAATTTAAATTTTAAATAAAAATTATTATTTTGTGTTTATCTCTCTCTTAAAATGACATAATTTTATATCATTTAAAATGACAAACACTTTGTTCGAATCCCACCAACATCGTCTGGGAAGGGGCATAAGTACCGTAATCCTTGGACTCGCACCCGAACTCTGGATCAGTCTCATAGGCAGCTCAAAGAGTCGAATCCGTAGGGATACTGGAAGTTCTGATTCGCCTCAAAGAGATAATTAGGATCAGTTTCAAAAAAAATGACAAACATTTTTTTCATAAAATAATTATCAAAATTATTTTATTTTTAATAAAAAAATAATATAATATAAACTAACCTATAAGCTAATTTTTTTAGTAAAATTAAAAATACAACCTATTTTCTAAATATATTGTTTTTAAAATAAACTGTGTTAATTTATCAAATATATTAGGCCAAGATTTGTCTTAACATAAGTGGAGCAAGTTTTTACGTGGATCCACCCGTTTGAAAATTAACATGATCATGTCATGTGGAGAACTATAATCATTCAAAGGTGGATTAATGATAATAAAAAAAAAAAAAAGAGAAAATGTTAAAATAGATAGTTACGAAATCATAACCGTTGATTTACCTTTATATGGTTGTGATTTTTTCACATACCATATCATATTTTTTTTCCACGTGAGAAGATCCATTTTCAATTTTGTTATAAATGAAAATAAATTCTTTTATGTTTAAAAAAATAACATAATCATGTAAAAAGTTTACAATAATTTTAAGATGAATTAATAATAATTGTTTTGTAATTATTTATTTTAATATTTTTTCTATCTTTTTATTACCATTGATTCGTAATTATTTATTTTAATATTTTTTCTATCTTTTTATTACCATTGATTCGTATGGTTATAATTAAACATAATAAAATGTCATATTTTTTTCTTTCTTAATATGATAGGATCCGCTACCTTATAAATTGATTCATTTACTCCCCTCTAAGCGTGGCATGACAGTTGTCGTGATTGTGAGCATACTAAAGAACAATCCCTATCTCAAAAAAAAAAAAAAAATCCCGACTTTGTTATAAATATCCATTTAAAGGAGTATCCTAAAACTTTCCATTATCTTACGAATCTTAATCTTTAAGTAACTTAAAGTCCCTATTATGATTTTAAGTGCGCTAAACACTAGCGGATAAAACTATTATTTTAAAGAATGGAGGATGATTTTATGGGAAAAAGATTTATCATTTTACATAAGAAAATTTTTGCCTCCTACACTCACAATATATAAGTGGGTCCCATCTTGACGTTTTTGTCTTCTCATTTTTTTGTGAACTCCATTCATGTATTGTGAGTGTAGCATGAGAAAATTTTCTCATGTAAAATGAGAAACTTAATTCCCTGATTTTATACATGTATAAATTATGGTATTAGTTAGAAAATAAAATTATCTTCTACATAAATAAAAATATGCGGAATTCATTTTTTTTTCTCTCTCTTTTTTCACATGTTCTTACATGAATTCCATGCACTTTTATGTGAGTCTAAAAATTAATTTTATCTCCTATAATATAAAAAATATTAATCTCATAAATTATATTTTCAAATCAATGGATGTTGTTGTAGTGATTAAAAGTAATTATTTAAATTTAAAATTTGATTTTTGAAGAGGAAATATTAAATTTCTATTACACCCAAATCAAAATCGAGAAAACAATGAATATAACTTCAATATATATATATATATATATATATATATATATATATATATGTTCACTTTTTCTGCAGTAAGCCCAATACGACGTCATTTTGGGGGCAGAAATCATGATATTTTTATAATTTAATTTATTTCAGGGTTATTATAATCTTTATAATTATAATTTTTTAATATTTTATTCCCAAAACGACGTTATTTTGAGAGTAAATGCAAATAACTTATATGCAGAAAGTGCGGAAATATTTATATATATATAGGATTTAGTGAGTGTACACTGAATGGATATAAATTTTGGTCCAGTCCACTATATTCTCCCGGGAGAACACATTTATAGTAAATATTATAACTATATTAGATTACAAAAAAAAAATATTATATCTATATTCTCTCGCGAGAACACCATTATAATATTTAGTGCACTATGTTTTCCCGAAAAAACTTAGTGCACTGGACGGTTCTGTCACTGAATTTTTCATTTTTTTTCATATATATATATATATATATATATATATATATATATATATATATATGTTATGGACCAGAGAAAGGCCCACAGTAGCAAGAAGCCCAACCAACATCAGCCCAGAGGTAAGCTCTATAAATAGGACTAAAGACCACAGGTATGACTGATCTCTCGAACTCTATTTCATTCAAACACGACAGTGCACACACATGCCCCCTCTGGTTAAGGCCATCATAGAGTGTGTAGCGATCTGCTGTCCCCAAGATACCTAATTCATAGGTATCGAGAGAGAAAGCCCTAGATCCAATATCAAAGACCCGACCGTAGGTCGGACAGATCTGCTCAATGCAAAACATTGGCACCGTCTGTGGGAATTCGGACCATCTAGCCTACGGGCAGAGGTTCCAGCCCGGCTAAGAATGTCGTGGTATTCGAACCATCTATCCTACGGGCAGAGGTTCTAGCCCGGCAAAAAACGTTGCGATAGTTGACCAACTTGCCTACGGGAAGTTGGATTAAAAGATTCGTGCCGACCTACCGAGTTAAGGAGGGACTTAAGGGGACGCCCTTACTTCCCTAACACCCTTACAAGAGAAGGTCGGTTGAACAACAAATATCGGCATGCATAAATTACAAATATTAACAAGGACAAAGGCAAAATTTCCATATCAATTAAGCGTGTTTGTTAAACAGGCAGAGTTCTCAAATTGATTGGAAAGCAAAAAGGAAAATTACAAAAATAAATCGGCATCCCGGCTCTTCATCCCGAAGCATCCTCCTACATCATCCCCCTCACCTCCGCCTCAAACTCGGCACCAGTAGCCTCAATAGAGGCATTGATTCCGGTCTCCCCAGCCCCTTGCGCAATCTCCATTTGAGTTGTGCTACTCTCTGGCAGACTGGGATTCGATGGAGGAGGGGGAAAGTAAACCCCGCCGCGAACATAGCCAAAGCAATCAAGCTGGTCAACCCGCAGAGGACATTCCGGGTTAAAATACGTCACTTGGTTTACCCCATTCTTGAAAGCACTCACAGCGGCTTTTTGCAAAGCAAACTGGCTAAAATCATAAGCTTGCTGCAAGTTTTGGAGATCTGACTTTAACTTATCAACCTCGGTAGTGAGCCCGGACACTTTCACACCCCTTTCAGCCAGCACGTCGGATTGGTCTTTGAAATACTTCAAAATATTATCCTTGTCAGGGGTAACGCCAACAGCTTCAGCAATGGACTTCAGCTCGGACTGGGAAGTCTCCGCAGCAGCTTTTAGTTCAGTAGAGCTGTTTAGCTCTTCGTTGACAAGCACAACTTTTCTATACCTTACCCGAAGCTCGTCCAGCTCGGCAATGGCCTCAGAATGCTTCTCCAGGAGCAAGGCGTATGGCTTTACCATAGAAGCAGCTTTGAGGGTGTACAACTCTGCCTTCTGGAGCTCCTCCATCTCGGCTCTCGAAATGATCCCGGTAACGTAGAATGCGGGCGGCGGACGGATGACACCCCGGAACTCGGCTGTTATCGCTGAGTCCCATAAAGCACCCCTCCTCAGTCCGGCTGGGAGTGCTGCGGGAGCAGGGGAGCCCCGGGGAAGAGTAATGACGGCATGAGTTTCACCCCCACTAATCGAGACTGGAGGGTTGGGAATCCTGTCAGCCTCGGTATCCTCACCATCCCCAGTAAGGTCCAAGATGGAGACATCGGAATTCAAGGGCAAAGTAGAAGCGGCCCCAGCCGGGCTGCTTGTCTGGGGCCTCTTGGCCGGAGGAGCTTGCGGAGCAGATGTTTGACCGGCGATCGACAAGATGTAGCCCGGACCTGGCCCCTCATCTTCTTCATCGAAATTCATTTCGGAATCTGCAAAGAAAAACAAGTCGACAAGTTATAAACAATAACATGAAAATAATACACGTATCAAGATGGAAGCACAAAGCATACTGGCGGGTTGTGGAGTAGGCTCTGGGGAAGAATGAGATCTGGCTACCAAGGAAGCTGCGCTCAGATGACCCTGGGAACCCACATGGTCCAGCAAGGTCTTGGCATTAGTCTTATCAGCTTGTGTCAGTCTCAATTTGTAGTCGGATGGCTTACGTCGGTGATGATCCTGAGTCCAATACAGGGGGAACTTCGGCTCCCCATCATCACCAATGAACCATGGCCTCTTTCCAACCTCGGCCACCACTTTAAAAAAATAGGCCTTGAAGCCCTTAAAAGATTCGATGTATACAGAGAACAGCTTGCGGGAGGGCTTGCTAACTCGGCCTCGGATGCTACTCCACCCCTTCAATTCAGGAGGTTCCGAGCCGGTACGCTAAGTGTAAACAGTAAAGAAATGAAAAAACAAAGGCACAGTGCAAGGAAGGGACAACAAGTCGCAGAGCTGTTCGAAGGCAACAATATAAGCCCAGCCATTAGGATGGATCTGGGTTGGTGCGAGTAGCAGGTGGTTTAGAAGTTGCACCTTGAATGAAGAAAAGGGAAATCGAATCCCAATCTTCGTCAGTAGATCCTGGTAGAAGAAAAAAGAATGTGGCTCCTCAGGGTTCCGGCCGGAGCAAACAGGTTCGTCATCGGCAGGCACAAACGTGTTGAAATCAACCGGGTTGC